GTCTTTCTTAATGTTAATAAATCATAAGTGCTGAAAACTATTCTAGCTAAAAAAAGGAAAATGAATCCGTACGCCATTAAATTATTCTATGCAAATCAGATATCACAATGACGATTTTATTCATTGTTTCTTTTGAGTGGATAATCTAATCATCGACTCATAAGAGCTTATTCCATTTTATTCACTCATAAATTAATCAGTGTTGTCTGCAGAGCTTTGTTGAGGATAGCGATAACTTTACAATTAAAACTAAACTAAAATTCAGAAAATAAAGAAAAATATTTTAAAACTATTATTAAGGGAAACTATTTAAGTTTTTGAATTATTAATAATCAGATGTTGGTATCTAATTTCAGCTGACATCATTTTCGTATAAACTCTATTTTATGATTAATGATTACAGGCATTGGTTTGGTTTATTTTGTATTACGGCATATCAACACCTCAATGGTTATATAATGCCGACAAGATTTTTATTGTGGGTAATATTTTTTATCTATCTATCTATCTATCTATCTATCTATCTATCTATCTATCTATCTATCTATCTATCTATCTCAGTATATATTAGTTTGGTTGTTTTGTTTTACGGCATATCAACCTGAATGGGTTATTTAATGTCAACAAGATTTTTATTACGGGTAATATTTTTATCTATCTATCTATCTATCTATCTATCTATCTATCTATCTATCTATCTCAGTATATATTGGGTTGATTTATTTTGTTTTACGGCATATCAATACCTCAATGGGTTATATAATGCCGACAAGATTTTTATTGCGGGTAATATTTTTTATCTATCTATCTATCTATCTATCTATCTCAGTATATATTGGTTTGGTTTCTTTTGTTTTACGGCATATCAACGTCAATGGATTATTTAATGCCGAAAACATTTTTAGGATAGATTCGTATGAATAGAATATGTACTCTTTGGTTTAGATTGGTTTGGTTTATTTTGATTTACGGCATATCAATACCTCAGTGGGTTATATAATGTCGACAAGATTCTTAAGATAGTTTCGTATGGTTAGAATATGTATTCTTTGTAAGAAATCAGTTTGTATGGCTCTCTACAATTTCCTATCTTTTGTAACTCTTAGTATGGTTTGTCTTTTTGCTTTTTTGGTCTGCCAACCATTTACACAAGTTCGTTGTGTAGATTAGTCGATGCTTTCCTTGGTCTCTCTTTCGATATGCCTTGTGAATCTCAAATTCTCCTAGTCCCCTTTCCTCTTTATAGTATCTAAGATATTTCAGTTGTCTCTTTCTGATTTCGATTCATTTTTCTTTCTAATTTCCATATAATTTCGACATTGTTCGAAATAAAGGGTTCAGTTTGAAGTTCCAACCACCTGAAGAAGGCCGGAGCGTACAACGGCCGAAATGTTGTGACAAATATGGCGACAAAGATGAGGACAATAGTCCGACTAATGTAAATACAGTAACGTATATATATATATATATATATATATATATATATAAAGAATAAACACACATAGAATTAATTAGAAGTATCAATGCGATTATTGGCGACATCCATCGCTAGAAAACATAATATATGCATTAAAATCCTGTTCATCCATAGTGCGAGTTTTGATCCTTGGAGAAAAACTTGTTGTCTGTAGTTTTTCAGTTTATTTGATGTTAAAATGCTAGTACTTATGACAGTCTTCCATCCATCATCAGGCATGTGTTTTTTTTCCTTATAAAATCAAAACCTTGAGACGATATACCTGTATGTCGACCGAAAGATGTTTTTTGAATATCTGCTATTATTGACGGTTGTAAGATATCGGAATGTGCAAAGACGCAACGCTAAGTTTTTCAAAATTTTTTAAGTGAGAATTTTATTTAAATATTTCTTGTGATGTGTTAAATCCACGTATTCTATTTTTACAAGTGTATTCAGTTTTATGTCATGAACTAAGTATATACTTCAATAAAAAACACATGCCTGATGATGGATGGAAGACTGTCCGTAAGTACTAGCATTTTAACATCAAATAAACTGAAAAACTACAGACAACAAGTTTTTCTTCAAGGATCAAAACTCGCACTATGGATGAACAGGATTTTAATGCATATATTATGTTTTCTAGCGATGGATGTCGCCAATAATCGCATTGATACTTCTGATTAATTCTATGTGTGTTTATTCTTTGTGCCTAAATTTTATATATATATATATATATATTTATATATATATATATATATATATATATATATATATAAACAAAAAGTAACGTATATATATATATATATATATATATATACAAACGAAAACAGTAATGTAAGCAAGCGAAATTAACAACATTCGAAAGTTCTCAGGATTAAAATTTTCAATTCCTGAAAGAGTTTAGTTTTTCTTTTTATTGATTTTTTTTTTACTGTTTAAATGACGTCATTGACGAAATTGGTTCCAGAAAATATGAGAATGCCAAAATAAACCAAAATCAATTCCCTAAACACACACACGCATACACACACACGCACGCATACTCACATACGCGCGCCCACACACATACACACACACATATATATTTATCACAGGATATTACATTCAGACATGTAGTTTACGTTTTTTTCCTACATGTTTGAATGTAATATTATAATAAGATATGCTCACAAATGTCATGGTGTTACTCATCCAATTATTCATAGACCAACGGATTGTGCCCCAAACTAAACTCAACTCGAGGAATTACTATAATGATTGGCCTAAATGCCCCAAATTCTATTCCTTATATATCCTTGCTTGACCCAGTTGAAGCCCTGCGATGGCGCAGTTCGGCGGAAAGAAAACTCGTGGCTCTTGGGGCACAATCCTTTGGATTATGAATACTTGGATCAGTATCACCATGAAATTTGTGATTAGCGGCGCTATATCGAGTCTATTCAATTTCTTCTTCGTCACCGAGTCCCGTTGGTACAGTAAGTATGACGTTTGAGTTGTATCGAAACGGTTCGGTAGTGGATGCACACTACTGATGAGTCCCAAAATAGGACGAAACGGCCGTCTAGTTCTTTCTACATTCTGTTGACGATTTTTCTAGATGCGATGAATTAATACAATGATATATATATATATATATATATATATATATATATATATATATATATATATATTTAAAAAAAAAAGACATTACTGATAAAAAAAGAAGCATCGTATGAAACAAGTGTACACAGTTATGGATATTGCTTCTAGCTTAATTAAAACCATTTAAACAGAAAATGTTCATATATTAATGAGGGCTATCATTAATTGCAGAGGTAAAATGAAATGTAATCAATGCGAAATGCGCAGAGAGAATTAATTTCAACACGGTGATATTTTCTTGTATGTTTATACAAACTAATGAACGATGAACAAAAAGAGAGAAATATTCCCAAATGAGCATACACCTGAAAAAGAGGTACCTCGGGTTGGTGTAATGGTTAACAAGCTTGTCTTGCTAGATAACTTAAAACTGAAAAGTGATTTTGATTCTCACTTGGTACCCCATACTTTCTGCCTTGTGCCCCATTTAAGCTACGCTTAGAAAATAACCTTGCCACAATTGCAGTATTTTCGAGCAATAAATCTCAAGTATACAGCTGAAAATGAAGGAAGTACATGTGTGTATTGCTTGTGTAATAGACACGTGTATATGTCTGAGTGTAAGAGAGAGTGTGTATGTGTGTACGTGTTTGTGGGGGTAAATTCAGTCATAAATCAGCCATGGGAAAGGAACTGTTGCCTGCACGGACAAGTACCGAGTTATCTGGTCGTACTAAATGAAACAGAAAAAAAAAAAACGTTTATCCAGTTGGCAATGTGTGGCTCATTTCCGCCTCTTGTTTACAAACCATTTCAAAACAAAGCATTATCTGGAATTGGAAGATAAATAGCGACGATGCACTGAATCCATCATAAAAATTCAGAACTTGGAATTAATTAACTCTAAACACTTTAAATACCTCACTGTATGGACCAGTTATAAAAAAATGTGTAAAAGATAAGGAAATTGAATGCTGTGTTCTGGTTAATTTTGTCCAACACTACAAGATGCTACAGAACAAATATACTTATCAAAGAAGTTGTAGTCTTCTTTTAAACAAGTTCGTCACCTAACACCTTTATCCACTGCTAGTTAGATACAGTGAGAGGACCCAAAGAATGTGAGTTCAATACCCGGTTAAGGCAGTGGAGAACTTTCAGAGGGGAATTAACAGGAGATAAGTGACAACTGACATCCATTTAACATGGCACGTAGAACGAGAACAATCTATTCCAGTGAGTGAATAAAGGGTCCAGTTCGACCTTCCAAACACCTGAAGAATGCCGGAGCGTACAACGGCCGAAACGTTGTAATAAATATGGCAACAAAGATGAGGACAATAATCCGAATAATGTAAATAGTGTACATAATACCTTATCGCAGAAATATAGACAGATACTGAAGATGGCCGGAGCCTACAACGGCCGAAACGTTGTAATAAATATGGCAACAAAGATGAGATCAATAGTTCGAATAATGTAAATAGTGTACATAATACCTAATCTCAGATATATAGACATATACGGAAGAAGGCCGGAGCCTACAACGCTCGGAATGTTGTAATAAATATGGCGACAAAGATGAGGACAATAGTCTGAATAATGTAAATAATGTTCAATCCTCCACAAAAGTTTCCTTTTCTGACCACTCAGATATCAGTGATTGAACCTTATCTCTTTAAGTTAAATGAAAACTATATTTGATAAGGGAATGGCCCCTGCAATTAAATACGTGTTCATTATTAGTTGACCCGACATATCGAGTAGAGAAAGTTTAAATCAGAATTCTAGGAGCCGCGTCTTCTCAGAGGTCGGTGTGCAGAGACAGGCTGATATTTTATTTTCTGCTGTTGTTGGCGGAGTTGGGTATTTAGGTGACAGCGACTAGAAATATTGAACGTCGAACGTCACCACAGGGAAGGAACAAAACCTCAGTGAAGGGAGATTGGAAAAACAATTATCGGAAGTTGTTCCGTATAATATAAATGGAATGTTTTCTGGCTTGAAAAGAAGAAACGTAAGGAGAAAGATATTCAGGGAAGAAAAAGTGGAAGAAAAGGAAAGCAGAAGAAAAGGAAAGGCGAAGAAACGAAAAGAGGAATAAAAGAAAAGGGAATAAAAGAAAAGAGGAAGAAAAACAAAGGGGGATAAAAGAAAAGGGAGATGAAAGGAAAGGGGAAGAGAAGGAAAGGAGAAGAAAAAAACGGAAAAAGGAAAGGGAAGTAAACGAAAAGGAAATGGTAATAAAAGAAAAGGGAAATAAAAGGAAAGAAGAATAAAACAAAAGGAAGCAAGGTAAAGGGTAATAATAGAAAAGGAGAATAAAATAAAAGGTTATAAAACAAGAGGGAAAAAACGAAAAGGGGAAGAAAATACAAAGGGAAGAAATAAAAAGTGGAAGAAGCGAAAGAGTATATAAAAGAAAAGGGTGGAAAAAGAAAAGAGTAATGATAGAAAAGCGAGACGAAAGGAAAGTGTAATAAAAGAAAACGGGAATAAAAGAAAAGATAATAAAAAAAAGGGTAATAAAAGAAAAGAAAAAAAAGAAAGGGTGATAAAAGAAAAGAAAAATGGAAACGGGAATAAAAGAAAAGGTAAAAAGGAAAGGCTAATAAAATAATAGGGAAATAAAAGAAAGTGTAATAAAATAAAACGGGAATAAAAGAAAAGGAAAAAAAAGAAAGGGTGATAAAAGAAAAGAAAAATTGAAACGGGAATAAAAGAAAAGGTAAAAAGGAAAGGCTAATAAAATAATAGGGAAATAAAAGAAAGTGTAATAAAATAAAACGGGAATAAAATAAAAGCTAATAAAAAAAGGGTAAAAAAAGAAAAAAAAAAAAAAGGGTGATAAAAGAAAAGAAAAATGGAAACGGGAATAAAAGAAAAGGTAAAAAGGAAAGGCTAATAAAATAATAGGGAAATAAAAGAAAGTGTAATAAAATAAAACGGGAATAAAAGAAAAGGTAATAAATGGAAAGGGTAATAAAAGAAAAAGAAAAATGGAAAGGGGGATAAAAGAAAAGGTAAATAGGAAAGGGTAATAAAATAATAGGGAAATAAAAGAAAGTGTAATAAAATAAAACGGGAATAAAAAAAAAGGTAATAAAAAGGAAAGGTTAATAAAAGAAAAGGAAAAAAAGGAAAGGGTAATAAAATAAAAATAAAATAAAAAGGAAAGTGTAATAAAATGAAACGGGTATAAAATAAAAGCTAATAAAAAAAGGTTAATAAAAGAAAAGGAAAAAAAAGAAAGGGTGATAAAAGAAAAGAAAAATGGAAACGGTAAAGAAAAGGTAAAAAGGAAAGGCTAATAAAATAATAGGGAAATAAAAGAAAGTGTAATAAAATAAAACGGGAATAAAAGAAAAGGTAATAAATGGAAAGGGTAATAAAAAAAGGAAAAGAAGGAAAGGGTAATAAAAACAAAATAAAAGGAAAGTGTAATAAAATGAAACGGGAATAATATAAAAAGGTAATAAAAGGAAAGGTTAATAAAAGAAAAGGAAAAAAGAAAAGGGTAATAAAAGAAAAAGGAAAAAAGAAAAGGGTAATAAAAGAAAAGGAAAATGTAAAAAAATAAAAGTGGAATAAAATAAAGGGGAATAAAATGAAAGAGATATAAAAGAAAAATGGAAGAAAAGAAAAGAAGATAAATGGAAAGAGGGTTAAAAGAAAAGGGGAAGAAAAAAAAGAGAATAAAATAAAAAGGGCAGTAAAAGAAAAGTAATTAAAATGAACTTGGAATAAAAGAAATGGTAATCAAATAAAAGAGGAATAAAAAGAAACGGTAATAAAAGAAAAGGTGAATAAAAGAAATGAAAATTCATCTAGAAAATGAAGGAAATATGCGAAAACTCTCTAGCAGGCTTCTTTATTTAAAAAAAAAAAAACAACATGGTCTGCACAAGTTTTCATTTGTTTGATTTGGATTTGAACGAGGAATATTATTATATTTCATGCCTTACCTCTCAGGTCGATATCGTAACAACAGAAAGATTCACCTGTCCAGATTGATAAGCTTCTCAATAAGGTCCTCGCTCTCCACCCCCGCGCCCATGGCTTCGAGTCCCGCGCCCTTAGAACCATCGAGAAGGATGAACTTCTCCGATAACGAAAAAGTAAGAATTTGATAAAGTCCGGCACAAGGATCTATTTGATCATTTAGGAAAAGTAGATCTATTTGGAAAAGATGTTAGAATAATGCAAAACGTTAGAAAATGAAATATGTCGTTATACAAAAATAGAAAGGGGGCTAAGACATAACGTACCTTTCCCTGGCTTTTTTTTATAAATACTTTCATTGTATTTGTTCGTATGAACGATCCCCTATGGCATTTAGACTTTATGAATTTAAGCGCAGTACTAGATTGGCAGCTAGGTCTCATCATTTTAAAATTGAAATAGCTAGATTAAACGTAAGTTCTATGATAACAGTTACTTCTGTCGCACTTTTCGCTTGTGGAAATTTCATCCGACTTCTTGATTCCCAATCAACTTCGATCTTCAAAACTTTAAATTCAATGCCAACCTTTATCTTCTGTCTTCTTAATTCTTATTATTTTATTGTCCTCTCTCATTAATAGTATTTCTTTTTTTTTTTTTTTTTTTGAGGTTGATATGACGTAAAACAAACCAAACCAACCCAATCAAAAATGCGAACTAACAATTGGAGATATCAGCATTTGTTTTTATCAATTCACCCTAAGGAAGGTGATAATGCTACTAAGACGCAAATGATTACTAGAATTGAAAGACAATTAAAACACTTTAAAAGAAATCGGAAGCCCAATATTAATAATTTTTCACTGTTTAGAAGTTTAGTTTTGAAGTGGAATTTAGAAAGAACCGAAAACTCAATCCTAAAGAGTAAACAAAAGATAAACCTTTATTCTTGGGAGGAGTATGAACCGGACGATAAATTAACCTATCTACTCTTATTGTCATCAAACACTCACAATATCTGGGAAATGTTATAGAAGAGGAAATACAACACTGAATTCCGAACGCGCAATGAATTAGTGCAAGGATTCCAAATCACCGTGTGCCGCGACACACAAGTGTGCCGCGCAATTTTCTTAAGTGTGCCGCGAAATATAGGGACGAAATTGAAACAAAACGATAAATTCCATTATTATTTACTTCTTTTCTTATTTTTTCAATGAAACATGCCCCATTGCACATGTTAGTACTTCGTATGTCCTTTCCACGAAATCGTTCCTTGCAGATGGATCACAGAATCTCGATTGGATTTAAATCAAGAGAGTTTCCGAGCCAGTCGATTGTACTTTGATTTGCTCACTGTCAAGGCTTGCCATATTGTGCTCGTGCATTGTATTTAAATTTTCGTAAGATCCCTTGGAATAACGTCCATCGCAGACAATGGCCGTAGGACAACTAATCGACAGTCGAGCCAATAGTGACCGGCCGTGATGAAAATCTGATGCAATCACGGATGACGCAATATTTTTTGGAGCTAAAAAAGATTCATCATACACCCCGAAAATAGATTCGTATTACCGCGCACCTCTGCAAATGATCTAATCTGAGGAAAAATAGAAAGCGATTACACCCTGTCACTCTAAAACTGACCGTATGGTGAAAGAACGGAAACTAAAGCAGTTGTTTTAATTAATTTGCACAAGGGTGTATACGTTTTTGTGGAGCTAGTAATGGTACAACGTTAGTATTTGAATAAATGAATAAGTATTAAACTTTTTATCCCACATCAGCTAAAATGGCTTTATCAGTTTTATTGCAATTTTCTACTTCTTATTTATGTGAATTGGGCTTCTCAAACTTAAATAACATCAAAAATAAGAAGCAAGAAAGACTACACTCAACTGAAGAAGAAATAAGGTCCGCTTATCGCACATTCGACCAAACATTAAAGACATTCAATGGCGGCACTCTCAAGGATTTTCCTTCTGAGTGAGTTATTCTCTTTTTTTATGAGTGTAGCATTTTTAAAATCAAAATTGTGGTTGAATTTATTTCTATGTATGACTAGTGCATTAATTAAGTTGTTTTTTTGTGCACAAAAAAGACCTCACAAAAAAACAACTTAACTAATGCACTAGTCATACATAGAAATAAATTCAACCACAATTTTGATTTTAAAAATGCTACATTAAAGACATTGTGAAAAAACACCAGGCACAGGTCTCACACTAAATACTCTGTACAAATGGTTGAATGGAAATACTGAAGTGCATTTTGTGTGGATTTTAAAAAAAAAAATCTATGATTTTATTTCATAACATTTAAATGTATACCCTTTAGAAATTTTGGTAAGTGTGGCGTCATGTTTTCATTTGCTCCTAGGTGTGCCATTGCTTAAAAAGGTTGAGAAACACTGGTCTAAATGTACTCCAAGTACATTGATTGTGTTCACCACATGATGAGAGACGACACGTGATCCTTTTAAGTGTGCCATGAAATATTGCCACGACATACGTATATATTTGTGTAGGGAAAAAAATGCTACAGCGTTAGTATTTGAATAAATTAATTAATATTAAACCTTTTTCTAAATATTTTTTTTTACTATTCGTCGATTATGTTATTGTTCTGGTCCAGGTTAGGACCAAGAAAGAACAACACGAACACAAGAGTAGAAATAACGAAGGTATATTACACGAAATAATAATACAAGATGTGGAAGGTGTTAGTATGACTGTCAGTCTGGTTTGGAGTGAACTACTATCGGCTCGACTCGATTCGGTATCTAGCCACCCCCATGAGGGTTGCATGTGGTACAAGGCCGAGTTTAACGTGGGTTTCCCTAGCCCGTAGGCTCGGCCAAAAAATGCACATAGAACCCATATAAACGGGATCGGGTTGGTCAACCTCCCTGAACGAAACTCTGCCCTTCGGCGGAACCTCGTCCGGGCTCCTCTCTGCTCATTCGACCGTCAAGCCGAGAAGCTCGGCTGGATTCGGTATCTAGAACGAGGGTTGTATGTGGCACAAGGCCGAGTGTAACGTGGGTTTCCCGAGCCCGTAGGCTCGGCCAAAAAATGCTCGTTGAACCCGTATAAACGGAAACTCTGCCCTTTGGCGGAGCCTCGTCCGGGTTCCTCTCTGATCAGAGGCAGAGAGTTCGACCGTCAAGCCGAGAAGGTCTCTTGAGAGACGTAGTATACATAGTGTTAGGAAGAGTTCATTTTGTAGTTATAGGTAAGGAGCCATGACAGTTATTTTAAACATTTTGTTTTTATATTCATTTTTTTCAAAGCATATTTATTTTCTTAATTTAACTTTTAAAATTGTTGTTTATTTGAATAAATAAATATTAACATTTTTTTTTATATAACTATATTCAACATTCTTTGTTTAATACAAAATACTAAGAAACATGATGAATTCATTAGAATCAAAGAAAAGACTGCTGAATAGCTATGTGATATCAATTGTCTTGCATGATATTGGATGCTGGACAATCGTCTTACTCATGAAGAAAAAAACGGAAGGTAACAGAAATATAGTTCTGCTGATGATGCTGAGAATTCTATGAATGGAGTGAGTAAGCATCAAGGAAGTCTTAAAGAAAATGAGAACAAAATGAATAAATTTATACTCAGAATTAGAAAAAGACAGATACCTCACTTTGGACACAATTCAAAAATACGGTCTTAAATAGGCGCCCGAGGGGTGGCGTCAGTGATTTAATTTGACTTGGTTTGGGTCTTTCAACATCATACTCCTCATCACCAAATCGACCCAATAAGGTGAGATCAATCCCTGATCCCCCCTCTCAATCAAATGTTGACAGCTACTCTGGTCTTTTAATGAATTCGACGAAGAAAGACCACGTTTTCTGCGCACCCGATTGGATGTTTGTAACAACCAATCCGCTGCGCGAATTATCTTTTAAATTGTCCACGGTGGAAACTAGCTTCTTTTCTTTTTTTTTCGGTAGATAGCAGATGCAATGAATAACTGAATAGGTAATCTTAATGTTCCTAAGTTGAACCCTTTTTCTTAATTATAAGAAGGAAGGAACGGCAGGATTTTTTGAATGGATAACAGGACGGACGTAGGAGGAACGTCAATGAGAGAAACGCTGTTAAAGACCACAAGGGATAGGAAGTTGCGGAGAGACATGATCGCACATGTCCTGAAGGAACACGGCACATAGAAAAAAAAGAACACCAAAATATACAGAAAACTTAGAAAAGCCAAAAATTAAAGGTTGTGCGTGATTTTAGGTGTCAGAATAGGAAAATGTCTAACGCCAACTCGACCCGGATATGAGTCATATGTCACCTTGGCAAAGTTCGTTTCAACAACTCCAAATTAAATACGCGCTTGTTTTCTGAATAGCTAGAGACAGCGACGCCATTCACACTCTGTGCAAATGTGAGGAAATTTATATCACTAAGGCCCTGGCAAGGGCACACAATGATATACTGCCATCAGTGCCTCCATGAAGCATCTGGCGTTGTTGCTAATTTGTGTGACATTATGTTCTGTCACTTGAAATAATCCCGGTAGGTATACCAATCCTAAGTATGTTTCAATACAGAAAATTAAACGCTAGCCATCTATCTGTAAATCTGAAGGCATTTATGCCTCTAACCCATTATCTAAAAATGCTAATACAGGAGAAACCCTCATCCGGAATCCCTCATATCCGGAGTGCCTCATATCCGGAATCCCGCATATCCAGAGTGCCTCATATCCGGAATCCCTCATATCCGGAGTACCTCATATCCGGAATCCCGCATATCCGGAGTGCCTCATATCCGGAATCCCGCATATCCGGACATGATTGTGATGTGTATATTTGAACTATTTGGGTGTTATGTAACTGATTTGAAATTTCCGTTTTTTAGGAAATTTTCTTTGGATATTTACTTATGCTTATTTCACCCTAATGGCTTGTATTGGTGCAAAATATGATGGGAATAAGCAGAAAAGAACAACTTTGGAGTTATCGCAAAAAATGGAAATTTTAAACAGACTAGACGCTGGTGAAAGTTCATTGTAACTAATGGATGAGTTCAACATAAGAAAGTCAACATTGTATGATATAAAATGTTCCAAAGAAACTATTCTCCCGCGTTCACACTGTCACAATGAACAAGAGAAAAAAACATGATTGTGTTGAAATCTAAACTGAAATTAAAAAAAGCTATAGAAAAGTTTGTCAGTTTTATGGAAAGAAAGCCAGCATTCAGCTATGACGATTGCAATGACGCAGGCAGAGTTAAAAAGCGTTTTTGTTTAAAGAATTTCAAGAACAAAAGCAAAACGAAATGCGGAAAAAGTTGAGAATGACATTGGAAAAGAAAGAATCATCATGCAACAGCGATTAAAAAATCCTCGTTACATTATTTGTTTTGCATACGTGGCAGACTTAATTTAATGAATTTTCATTAACAATACATAATTTGTTTCTTTTTCCTTAAAATCAATTCCGTTATATTTCTCTCAACATTAAATTATTTTGCTTACTATAAAACATTGAAAATAAATATTTAACCTGATTTCAGTTCTTTTATTTTAACCTAAATATAACCCCTCATATCTGAATTTTGTAACCAATTCCCCATATCCGCAGGGTCTTCTTAGTCCAGTTGTCAGGGATTCTACTCGATTTGATTAATTGAAAATGACAAGATCATGTAGAATAGTCTTCAATGTGTTTCGGTGCAATAAGCTTCTTTTTCGTTGATGAGCCTCGTTTTGATTTCCTTTCTGCTGAAAATAAGATGAAGCATTGAAGGAGTTTTTGAGAAAACGGAAACATGGACGCTTACACTCAACATCAGAAAGAGACAGTTGATATCTCTAAGGTACATGATGAGAAAAGAAGGCTTTGAAAAATTGTGTCGACAGGACGTATTGAAGGCAAGATGGATAGAAGGGCTGTGTATAATCCATGCCTAACGAGCATGTGAGGGCAGAATAGGGATCTAGTGAGATAGCGATTAGACAAAATTTACTAAGATCTACTAAGGACAGGAAATTCTGGAGAAATTGTGGAGAGACATGACCGTCTACGTCCTCAAATTACAAGTCATGAGGAAAAAGAAGAAAAGAAGAAGAGAAAGAAGAAGAAAAATAAGAAAAATAAGACGCATGAAAAGAAGAAAAAGAAGTAGAAAGAGATGAAAAAAGAAGAAGAAAAGAAAATAAGAAGAAGAAAAAGAAAGAAATTGTTGAGAGACAGGATCGTCTACATCCTGAAGCTTCAAGGCAAGAAGAAGAAGAAGAAGAAGAAAAGAAGAAGAAGAAGAAGAAGAAAGAAACATTGCGGAGAGACATGATCGCCCAGGTTGTGAAGATATAAAACACGAAGAAAAAGTAAGATAGAAAAATAAAAATAAGAAGAAACAAGAGAAGAAGAAGTTTAAAAAGAAGAAAAAGGAAATAGAATGAGAAAAATAAGAGGAACATACCGAAAATTAAAAAGAGAAGAAGAAGAAAGAAAAGAAAAGAGAAAGAAAAAAAATTGTGGAGAGACATGATTGCCTACGCCCCGAAGGTACAAGGCACGAAGAAGAAGAAGAAGAAGAAGAAGAAGAAGAAGAAGAAGAAGAAGAAGAAAAAGAAGAATAAGAAGAAGAAAGACAAAAAAGCGGTAGAAGAAGAAAAGGAATAAGAAAAAGAAAGACAATAAGAAAAGTAGAATAATAATAATAATAGTAATAAAAGGGATTCCTGGAAGTCCATGCCTCAAGGAGATACAAAAAATTGTTCTCACAAGTACAGCCCACAGTTTACGAATGGCTTTATCCATGTAATTTGTCAGTGGTAAGTGTCATGATGCCATTTCTAACCTTAGGTCCCTGGGCGGGACCCGGAAAGAAATATGTGAACGCCAGAAATCAAAGAAGACGACGACAATAATAAGAATATTTTTTTTTATTTTTATTTATTTATTTTTATTTTTTATTTTTTGTCAGGGGAAAATGTCATGATGTCAATTCTTACCTTAGGTCTCAGGGCGGGACCCAGAACGCAATGTATACGCACCAGAAATCAAAGGAAATAAAATAATAATATTAGTAATACACCGAAGTGTTTGGTAAAATTAATAATAGATGTAAATATTCCACTACAATATATCTAAAAACAATTTATCTTAGCTGTAAGGAAGATATTAGAAAAATCCAGATTTTATTTTTCTACAATGCTGTTCACTTTGTACGGGGCCCAAGAACGACTCGAGTTCGTGGGTTGCAAAGTAAGGGGCGCCAAAGAAAGTGATAATGCCACCAAGTCGCAAGGGGCCACAAGAAATGGAAGAGAATGAAAAGCTTTAGAACAATGATTCCCAACGTGGGGCGCATACACCCAACGGTAGGTCATGGTAATACTTTGGTGGGGAATGTGTAAGATGTGCATCCTTCGGCTTACTATACCAACTTGAGGTGAAATTTCATTTTCCATTATTATTTCATGATGAAAATGATCAAAGTAAATTACAGAATAAGCTTTCATTCAAATATTTTATATTTCTTCCTTTCAGTTCTCTATTGTATGTTTTTGAAAAATATATATATATATATATATATATATATATATATGTTGGTGTGACTTCGTTTCATACATCCTCGTCGCCACTGTTATGTTCCGACAATTCTCATCGGAACAGTTATATTTCGTACTAAGGGAATAAATAAGTAACACCAGGTGGATAATCGAAGAAACGTTTATTGTACACAACCAGTACAATATGAAATACGGTACAGTTATACACACAGGTCAATCTAGTAGTGAGTTCCATTAATTGGAATGTCGGACGTGCTTGCGTTGTCTCGCTCTCACTCTTCTTCGAGTCTCTCGTAGACAGTTGAATTTATAAGTACTTACTACCTATAGTGTCATCATTCATGGGGGTGACTGGTCATTCCATTACATCAATATATATATATATATATATATATATATATATATATATATATATATATATATATATATATATATATATAATCAAACATAATATTCCATGGTTATAATTTATTACATTGGAATCGTTATCACGATCCAATTCATCAGACCTGATTGGATCGTGATTACGATTCCGATGTAATAAATTATAACCATGGAATATTAATGTTTGAGCCTTTTATATTATATTCTTACTCTGTCGAGGACATTGAGTTCTACCTGGATTCTATCCTCTTGAATTTACATATATATATATATATATATATATATATATATATATATATATATATATATATATATATATCAACGTCGTGCAGTTCAATTTACATTACATGAATCATTCATATAATTTAATTTATTATAGATTAACTTCTATATCTGTTTTTGTATGAATGATTCATGTAATATATATATATATATATATATGTGTGTGTGTGTGTGTGTATTGACCACTAATATTATCAATATATATATATATATATATATATATATATATATATATATATATATAATTAGCTTTTTTTGTTTGTTTGTTTTTCTCATTCATGGACGACATGGTCTTTGGAGTCTTGTTTAAAGCCTTTTAAGCTTCCTTCATGTGAATTGCAGTAAAAATTTGAATATGGAAAAATTAAATATTACAGCGGTCACCCGAAAAACTGCAAAACAACTACTTATACTCTAGGCAGTAAATAGTGATTGACATGGCATTTAAATTTTTGAAGATTAAAATTGACTGGAAAGCCTGTAGCCGGAAGATTGTTCCACAAGTGAGAAGTGCGATAGAAGAAACTGTTAGCATAGAACTTACGGTTACATCTAGCCAACTGAACAGTAAATTACATCAAAATCACGCATTAGGAAGATTTTTTTTCATCTCATCAGCACATACAAGGTAGCAAAGTCACTAAGACACAAGAGGTTACTGAGGGTGAAAAATAGGCGAAAAGAGAAGATTTATTAAGGAAGGAGAACAACAGAAGTAGAATTAAGAATACAGTAGATGATGACTGACATTGCATTTAATCTTTTGACGATGAAAGGTGGCTGAAATGCAAGAAGCAGGAAGACAGTTCAACAAGCGATGAGTGCGATAGAAGAAACTGTTAGCATAGAACTTACGGTTACATCTAGCGAATTCAACTGTTAAATGATGAGACTTTGCTGCCAGTTTACTTTTCCTATCATGGCTCTCCACTTCCAGCTATCCCTTGTGGCTCTCAATAAGTTTCGTCTTTCTGCTTCTACCCCCAGACCGCGTTCTGTCATCCACTTTCTTAAGCATGCCAGCGTTGCTTTCTCTTGCCTTTTTTTCCCTCTATTCAACCTGTGAGTATCAGATTCTCTAGGCCCTCATTTGTCCCAGAAATTTCATCTGCGTCTTCCTGATATTAAGTACAGGGTGACCCCCCCCCCAACCAAAAAAAACGGGAATTTTTGAAGTGCGTATTGGTAGACATGAGCAAGTGGCAACACTGCGAGATGGGAACCTTGAGCAAGTAAACATTTCGCCATTTAGAATTCAAGATGAAATTCACAGTATCCCAGCTGAGATATTGCAGCAGTCAATGAGGAATCTCAACAGCAGATTTCAACAATGCATTCGTACAAGAGGGCGCCATCTACAGGACGTAATTTAAAAAAAATGAAAATTCCATCATTGTTTCTTAAATGGCATGTTTTGAGGTTTCAATTACTATGAATAAAATATTTTTCTTCCATCACTCTTGGTTTTATTGGATTGTTAAAAAGTTCCCGTTTTTACGGTCACCCTGTATAAGCTTCCTCTTTGTTTGCATCCTCTCCAAAACCTCATCGTTAATCACATGCTTGGTCCATGATATCCTTAGCATCTTTCTGTAGAACCATACCTTCGTTACCTTGAGTCTATTTTTCAACTTTGAGGAGACCCTTCAACATTCGCTGCCTTAAAGGAGGACAGATGTCACGTAGCAGCTCAATACTCTTTTCTTTGTTACCAAAGAAACCTTCCCGTCTCGTAAAACTCTGCCTAGCTTTTAGAATGCGTCTTCGGCCATCCCGATACGTCTTCGGATTTATCCCGATCGATGAGAGCAACCATGATTTATTTAACCACATCGTTGTTGACAAGCTCGGTCCTTGATATCCTTAGCATTCTTCTGTAGAACCATACCTCTGTTGCCTCGAGTCTCTTCTTCATCTTTGAGGAGACCCTTCAACATTCGCTGCGTAAAAGAGGACAGATGTCTCGTAGCAGCTCAATACTCTTTTGTTTGTTACCAAAGAAACCCTCCCCGTCTCGTAAAACACTGCCCAGCTTTTGGAAAGCGTCATTCACCATCCAAATACGTCTATAGATCTCAGTGTCGAACTTACCGACCTCTGTCAAAACACTTCGTAGGCATTTAAACTTCTGCACCGTCTTGATTTTAGTGTCGCCGACCTGGAAATCGTATTTCGGGCTCATCTTTTTAGTGATGACTATGTCTTGTCTTGTAGTTTATGCTTCGTCCTTTCTTTTCACTCTCTTTCGCCACCTTCTGCGGGAGGTTTTGTAATTTCTTTTCCTTGTCTGCTATCAGTACTGTGTCATTTGCGTACCACTTTACTACTGCGCTAAAATTCATAAAGTCTAGATACCATAGGGAAGAGTTCATCCGAGCAAGTAACCTGGCAGTATTTATAGAAAAGACACTAGAAAGCTCTATTACAGCAGTGAAGAAATGACTGAAGTTGAGATGCCAGGTCAGGACCAATAATATTGCTGAGTCTTCTTTGTATTTTATGATGAATTTCTAGACATACACCAGGATCTCTGGGATATATGTGGCAGAAATATTCAAGGCATGAACGAATGGCAGCTTTATAATTATATCAGATTCAGAAAATTTGCCTAGCACAGCACAAGTGAGTGAATTTTTCTTGGTAGCAAAACTAGCAGTGCATTCAATATAATCTTTCCACTTCATTTCAGCAGAGAATGTAAGCCGGACAAGGCGCGACGTATCAGCGTCCTGGAGATTAGTATCAGCCATGGTGATAGGAGACAGGAAACGGTTTTGATGTGATTGACAGAGAGAAGTTTCGTTTTGGAAGCGTTAAAATAAACAAACCGACAGACAAGATGACATTTTTGTGATCAGCTGCCTATTTGGCCCTATCGAATTGATCAGATTTACTAACAGTTAGTTATTAAGAACTGTTATTTAGAATTGAGGCACGGTGGAGTGATGCTTTGAGGAATCGGAGAGCCGAGTTCGAATTCCAGTCGAATCCATTTACATTCACTTACGTGCTTATACCCTTGGGAAAGGTATGAATCCTTTTCTTCGTCCACCAGCTATGGGTAAATAGCAGGACAGACCAGGTTCTGTAGACTTGGATATCAACAGGTCTACCGCAGAAAGAAATGGCAACCTACAGCGGGGAAAAATCTGCCTCGTCAGTCATGTATCGAAAGATATATGATCGCCTAAGCGTGTATCACGCAATGGCACATAACTGACTGACTGATTTTGCAGTCGAATCCATTACATTCATTTACGTGCTATTAACCTTGGGAAAGGATTGAATCCGCTTCTTCTTCCAACTAGGTATGAATAAATAGCAGGACAGATCGGGTTCTATAGCCTTGGATGGCAACTACTCTACCGCAGAAAGAAATGGCAACCTACTGCGGGAAAAAATCTGCCTCGTCAGTTATGTATCGAAAGAAAGATGATCGCCTAAGCGTGTATCACGCAAGGCACATAATCCCACTGACTTTCCAGTCAAATCCACTACATTCACTTACGTTCTAATGCCCTTGGAAAAGGTATGAATTCTTCTTCTAAAGGTATAGCTAAATAGCAAGACAGACCGGGTTCTATAGCCTTGGATGAGAACTGGTCTACCACAGAAAGAAGTGGCAAACTAGAGCGGGGAAAAATCTGCCTCGTTAGTCATGTATCGAAAGATATATGATCGCCTAAGCGTGTATCAAGCAATGGCACATAACTGACTGACTGATTTTGCAGTCGAATCCATTACATTCACTTACGTCCTAATAACCTTGGGAAAGGTATGAATCCGCTTCTTCTCGCACCTAGGTATGGATAAATAGCAGGACAGACCGGGTTCTATAGCCTTGGATGGCAACTACTACCGCAGAAAGAAATGGCAACCTACTGCGGGAAAAAATCTGCGTCGTTAGTCCTGTACCGAAAGACACATGATCGCCTAAGTGTGTATTACGCATGACACATAACTGACTGACTATTGAGAACTGATCAGATTTATTAGACAACAGTAAATGATTGTGTGACCAGCATATATATCAAGTTGAGAAGTGATGCGATCAAGAAGGGCATTGATGAATATTAAGAACAGTGTAGGTTCAATGATAGATCCCTGGAGGACAATTGAATTGGTACAAACAGATCCAGAAGAGTGGCCGTTGTAGATAACTTCCATTTCACGATCTGATAAGACAAACAGAATTAGTCCAAGAACTCGTTCGGAAATATCATAGCCTTTTGACTTATGAAGAACATCGGTAAGCCAAATCCTGTCAAAGGCTTTCGAGCTTCTCCAGTTTTATCTAAATCTTAATAGACTCTCTCAGTGGTAATCATTAATACATCAGCAGTTGAGCTAGAGAAGCGAAAGCCATTTTGCTTGTATGAAAGAAAGTCCTGCAATGTGAGATGCTTGACCAATTCAGAATTGAAGAGAACATTGAACATATGACGCATAGATTCGAAAGTACTTTGAAATAGTGAGATATGCCTTCAAACATTTATTAAGTATCAAGAAACTTTCTTTAGAAAGTAATAAAAGAACACTGAATATCAGTTCTCTTATATGTCAGCAAATGATGTTGAGGAAACTTGAAAGGCCACAGAGATGTGAATCTACAAAATACCATGGACGGCACATGTGAACATTGGGAAGGTTTGAAAAGTAAATGGGAACGAAAGACACTTGTGCTTAAGATGAGGTAGTGGGGCTTGGCGAATTTCAAACTCACAGGGCAATACTGAGAGCAATATCAGTATAAATGCAGGGGTAGAAATATATATGATGAACTTGAATAAATGGAAAGCAGTGTCTAGACTTGAGAGGGATAGTAAGAGGGAAACTATTACTTAGAAGGAGAGGATGCTGTGGAGAGCTGTGATCGTCTACGTTCAGAAGGGACATGGCACATAAATGGAGAGAAATAAACTAAGAACAATCAGTTTCTTTTCTTTTTTAGAAGGCGTCAGATGTTGTCAGGATTTAAAGGCGTTACGATTCCACACAAAAGAAAGAAAGAAAGAAAGAAAAATTAAAAGAAAGACAGAAAGTAAGAAAGAAAAAATTAAACGGAAAGTGATCAGAATGAAAGAAAAGGAAAGGAATAGTATACAAAAAAAAGTAAAAAAAATGAAAATGAAAAATAAGGAAGGAAAATTGAACGGAAAAAGATGAGAAAGTATGAAAGAACGTACATGAAAATCGAAATAAGAATGAAAAAAATGAACTTAATGAGAAAGAAAGAAAGAAAGAAAGAAAGGGAGACAGAAAGAAAATGAAAAACAAAAAGAAAGAAAAAAAAAACGAAAAAGAAAATGATACGAAAGACATGAAAAATGTATAGGAAAAGGGAAAGAAAGAAAAATGTAAAGAAAAATTATAAAAAAGAAACAAACAAAAAAGAAAAAAGAAAGAAAGAAAAGGTAAATGATAAGAAAGGAAGAAAGAATATGTACAATGATAAAAAAGAAAGAAAGAAAAGAAAAATAAGAAAGAAAGAAATAAAGAAAGAAAAATCTGCAGGAAAATAATAAAAAAGAAAGTAAAAGAAATGATAAAAAGAATGAAAGAAAATGAAAATGATAAGAAAAGAAGAAAGAAGAGGAAAAGGAAAACGATAAGAAAGAAAGAAAGAAAGAAAGAAAGAAAGAAAGAAAGAAAAGAAAAAAAGAAAATGATAAGAAAGAAAGAAAGAAAGTGAAGAATAATAATAATAAAAAAAAAAGTAAAGGAAAAGAAAGAAAGAAAGAAAGAAAGAAAGAAAGAAAGAAAGAAAAAAATGAAAAGTCAAAGAAAGGAAGAAAAAAAAGGGAAGGAAAGAAAAAAGAAAGAAAGTTGTGCGCTGAATATTCAATTTATAGCTGTCAAGATCACGTCGCCTAAGTTATGATATAGATCACGTTCGGGTCAAGTTGGTGTTAGACAATTTCCTGTTCATCTGATCATTGAAGCCATCATCTCGCTATGTTTAATTTGGGGCTTATATTCCTTTTTCATCTGCATTTCTCTTTTCACTCTCCTTGATCACTTGGTTTACATACAAACACGCACCCCCCCCCACACACACACATTATCTACCACTCTCACCATATCTATCTATCTATCTATCTATCTATCTATCTATCTCTCTCTCTCTCTCTATATATATATATATATATATATATATATATATATATATATATATATATATATATATATAGATGATATATATATAGATAGATAGATAGATAATATTAGTGGTAAATATAAACATACATATGCAAAATATATAAATATATATACATATATGCATACACATACATATATATCTTTTGAAAAAAAAAAATTCCAAAAGGATAGAATCCAGGTAGAACTCAATGTCCAGGACAGGCAGGACAGGCTAAGGATATAATAAAAAGGCTTAAACACTAATTTTGAATTTGTAGGTCTGATGAATTCATCAGACTTACAAATTTTGAATTTGATTGATGAATTGGAATAAATTTACGATTCCATGGAATATGACCATGGAACCATGTTTAAGCCTTTTATTATATTATATATATATATATATATATATATATATATATATATATATATATATATGGTCGCGTGGCCAAGTGGTTAGAACGTTCGAATCTCACCCTGGTTGATTTGTCAGTTATCGCCCTGCAGAGCCGATCCCAGCGTTCAGCACCACTGGAAAATGGCCGAATACCATAAAATGGTGAGGCTCAAGACTTATCAGCGAAATTGGGTAGACAAACTAACTATGAAACTTTGATAATATGCTGCAAAAATCACAGCGGGCTCCATAAATCCTTGACAGCCTTTCATTATGTCCATGCAATTGGCTTGTTGTTTGCAATTCCACAGGTTGAGATCAGGGTTGTTGACAGACGATAGAAATATAGTAACCATGAGATTCTTATGGTATTCTTTAAGTTTCTTTGCTTTGTGTTATGATGTCCCATCTCTATATATAAAAGGCAGGATATGTGTGTGTAACGAATGCAAGGCCGCAATTTTCGACGGATTTGCACAAAAATTTACATGCACATGCTCCAAGTTAGCGGGAAGGCCAAGATCGACTTTGCATTTCCCAACTCCCATCGATATTGGAAATAATCGAGTTTTTCATGCTTCTACGGCAGTTTTCATGTAGTTTGCGGCCATTTTCTACTGGCCACAGTGAGAGCTTATAGCTGGCTGCCACGAATAGGCAGGAAGATTCTATTGGCCAGCGTGAGAGCCAACAGCTGACTGACATGAATTTTAACTAGCATGCAAAAAAAATCGATAGCTGTATTCGTCACAAGTGGGAAAAATTTAAATCTGCATGGCACTTTACTCCAATTGGCTCATTCACTTGCTTAAACTCAACGTTGATTCTGATTCCGCAGAACTGGGTTGGGTGTGAAAAAGTATTTGTTGTTAACATTCTTTTTTTCATTCGGTTTTTCCAGTTACAAGTTCTTTTTTAAAGCTGGTCGTTTTGTGCTCATTTTGTTTAGTTCTTTTTTCGTAACAGATTTAATGTTTAGTATAGAGCTTAGAAAAAATTCGCAGTATGAGAAAAGCAAGAAGTAAGGCATGTAGCAACATCAGCACAGTAAAGGGCACTCCTTTAAAGGCAAGGAAGGGCAAAAATATTTTAAGTCAAGTGATAGCGATTACTGTATGAGTCGTACGATATTTGAATCAAGCACGGGCAACGCCGGGCCATGCAGCTAGTCAGGCATAAATATTCTGCATCCATGGAGGTGCATGTGAATCTCCACTTTATTCTGCAACAATTCTAAATACTTTTAATCGTTTATGGTTGTTCAAGAGAGTCTTTAATACTTTCTATGGTGTATTCTGATTTAGAATTACCTACGAAAGGTCGATAAGCCGTAAAAAACAAATCAATCAACGAAAAATAATGTTGATCTGCTCGATAGTTGACAACAGAATTTTGAACTGCATCTTACTGCAACCTCTTTTAGGCATGAGATTTCACACAATTTCGCCATTATTACCAGCAATGGCGAATATATACATGGAATACTTTGAGGAAATGACATTAGAATCTATATCTCTAAAGCCTATTTTTTTAAGGTACGTAGATGACACCTTCATACTCTGGCCACGCCAGAAAGAAGTTCAGGTTCTACTGAACCATGTGAACTCAATAAGACCTTCGATACAGTTCGCAATGGAGAAAGAGAGTAACAACACACTGCCATTCCTGGATGTTCTAATATCCTGAACAGAACCTGGGTTCAAGACATCCGTATACCTCAAACCGAGATTCACCGGACAGTACCGCAATTTCAACTCCCACCATCCATACAGCGTAAAGAAAGGGATCATCCGTTGCTTACAACACTCTTTGGGTCCTGTCACTGTATCTAACTAAAACCTTTATCCACTGTGCCATGTGTCCTTGAGGACATCTGTGTATGAATTCCTGGGTATTATGAACCTAATGTCTTCAGCAACCTTTTTTACCAGTTGTGGCACCATGCATCCTGACGATTTGAAAGAAATATTTATAGATATATGATTTGCTCTTTTACGGTTTATCAACCATTTGAGGATTATTTAAGGCCGAAATGTATTTTAGGTTTTAAGAATAATTCTTTCTTTTTTTTTGCGAGAGGATTGAACCGCCATGCATTCAGGCGATTTCGGAGAAAGAAAGAGAAAACGAAGAAGAAGGAGAGAAAAAGTAATACGAGACGGGTCATAGGCGAACACACACACACACACACACGGCTTAAGAGACGGGAATAATGAAGAAAAGGGTTATTGTTGATAGGTATCAAATGTCGAAAATATCTAGGTCACCTACGAACAAGCGTTGACCGATTTCCGCTTATCCGCGAAAAATGGAATTGTGTTATCAATAGATGTCACCAATTAAGAAATCCATTTTGAAAACGTTAGATTTTGATAATAGACAAAACGCAGATGTAACTTGCAGTCTTGACTGGGTATGGAAAATTAAAATCCCACACAAGTAGTTTTCACTGGCTAAGTTTTTCTTTTGACAGAATAGACTTTTGCCCTGCGATAATAAAAATTTTGTTATCAACACATGAGCCGAAGGAAACTGACATATTTTTATTTCTGCTTTGCAGACGCCAAATTGGCTGGAAACTTGGAAAAAATTCTTTTCTTAGACCATGTCAGATAATCCAGCTGTTCAGTGAATTGGCGATAAACTGCTTGACAAACGCCACGTGTTGAAACCGAGAGTTGTCACATCAACCGCTCATGATAATGGCGATTTAATTAATTTTTTTTAGTTAAGCAAGGTATTTCTTTTCCAAAACAAAGCCACGGGTTGTTCACGCCCGACTAAGACGTCATTGGCCAAGTGGATCACATGACGCACGAAGGAGGAGGAAAGATATCCGACCAGGACCTCATTGGCCAAATAGACCACATGACGCACAAAGGAGGAGGAAAGATACCCGACCAGGACCTGATTGGCCGAGAGTGGTCACGTGACGCACGAAGAAAATCAGTCGACGCCCCTAACCAGAGTATAAGTATGAGAAGCCGATACGAAGAAGTGGGGAGGGCAGTTCACGCCCCTCAGAAGAATGGCGAGAGAGTGGGAGTGAGAAAAGAGTTACCAAAAATGGAAAAGAGTGGAAAATCCCTAACCAGAAATAAGAAGGGTGGATACGTATTTAGAATTATCGAAGAACCCCTGGCGCCGACAGACCCACCCCAGTTTTGACGGCGTCAATAAAAACGAAACCCCACCAGACAGAAATCAGTTCAGCCCCGGACGGCGGAGGGAAGAGTTCGTTCGCCCCTAGCGGGCAGAGGAGGCCAGTTCGTTTGGCTCTGAGTGCAGAGTTCGTTCGACCCAAGCTGGCGAGAAGAAGTTCGTTCGCCCCGACGGCAGAGATGAGTGCCCAGTTAGTTCAGCCCCGGACGGCGGGCCGAGTTCGTTCGCCCCAAGCGGGTAGAAGAGGCCAGTTCGTTTGGCCCTGAGTGCCGAGTTCGTTCGACCCACCCTGGCGAGAAGAAGTTCGTTGGACTCTGGCAGGCAGAGTTAGTTCAGCCCCGGACGGCAGAGAGAAGAGTGCCCAGTGTTGAAACCGCCTCAAGATAGCTGACCAGATTCACGCAAAATTTTGGACTCTTCTTCAACCAAGAACAAGTAGTTTGAAGAGCGACTTAGAACCAGACCACAGAAATAAGTTTTTCGACTTTCGTCCAAAGACACACCGAAACACAAATTTCTTAGAGAGCAGACAACTTGAAGCGTTAAAATTTGCCTAGCGAAAGCGTCGTGCCACAATCCACAGAACGGGTCGGGAGGTAGACATAGTCCTATGTATCGAACAACTAGACACAAAAAGTTTGTTACCTTTTTCTTTGATACTTTGAACTTTGTGAGTTTTCATTTTATTTTTCTTTTATACATATTTGTGTGTTATCACCCCTGTTGAACTCAGCTTGCATTACGGCCCCGACCCTGTTTGATCTCGTCTGTCTAAGATCAATTCACAACGTGGGTAGGCAGACTGGAGATCAGTGCAGTTACCCTGGTAACCAGGCGTTGGAAGCAGGTTGGGAACGGCGAGGCTGGTATCAATCTAACCAGATTCCTACCCGAATCACCAAAGGGTTAGAACGTCACGTTTGGAGCAGCGACACCCGAACGGAGCAGCAAGGAGCGAACAGCTGACGCCGCGGCGAAGACGTCACAATTGGTGCTGTTTAGGGACGTCACAACTGGCGCTGTGGTAGATCAAAATAGAACGTCACAGTCGGCGCTGCGACCGGGGGACGACGTCACAATTGGTGCCGTGACCAAAGGATCAGAGACTGGGACAGCCACGTCACGTCACAAGTGCTCATATTGCAATTTTTGCTGTTATCACTGCATGTTTTTCCAGAGCTCATATTGCAGTTTTTTTTTCTTATTATCGCTTTTCTCTGGCACTCCTTATTACTGGTTCCCATATTGTATTCATTTCTATGCTTGGTCGGCTCAGAAGATTTTTGTGGTCTAGCATATGTGTTGATTCCTTAAGTTTATGAATTTTCCAATGGTATTCTTCGTCTATGATCTCAACCAGATCCCACAGAGGGTTTATAATACCCAGAAATTCATACACAGATATCCTCAAGGACACATGGCACAATGTATAAAGGCGTTAGTTAGATCCAGTGACAGGACCCAAAGAGTGTGAGTTCAATACCCGGTTAAGGCAGTGGAGAACTTGGACAGGGGAATTTACAGGAGATAACTGATAACTGACATCCATTAGACATGGCACGTGGAACTAGAACAGTCTACCCTCGTGAGCGAAATAAATGGTTCAGTTCGAAATTCCAACCACCTGAAGAGGGTCGGAGCGTACAAAGGCCGAAACGTTGTAATAAATATGGTGACAAGGATGAGGACAATAGTCCGAATAATGTAAATAGTGTACATAATATATCATCTCAGAAATATAAACAGATACTAAAAGGCCGAAACGTTGTAATAAATATGGTGACAAGGATGAGGACAACAGTCCGAATAATGTAAATAATGTACATAATACCTCATCTCAGAAATATAGACAGATACTGAAGAGGGCCGTAGCGTACAGCGGCCGAAACGTTGTAATAATTATGGTGACAAGGATGAGGACAATAGTCGGAATAATGTAAATAGTGTACATAATACCTCATCTCAGAAATATAAACAGATATTGAAAGACCGAAACGTTGTAATAAATATGGTGACAAGGATGAGGAAAATAGTTCGAATAATGTAAATAGTGTACATAATACCTCATCTCAGAAATATAAACAGATACTTTCTAGTTGACTACTTCAATGCAAGTACCACCGCGCTGCCAAGTATACTTTTTACATCTTTTGCTCAGTGTTTCAAAACAAGTATCCCGCCCTGCAGGTTCACG